CCCTGCTGCAGCTTCTGCCCTGGCTCCACAGCGAGGTACCTTTGGGACACCAAGCCAAGCTATGGGGCCTTTCTGGCCAACTTTAGCCCAGATAGAAGCAGGAGAGTGTGGGGCACAGACTGCTCCTCCCATCCCCAATGCCATTTGTGTGTGTCCCCCCCTTCCCCAGGGCAAGGGACCTGGTGGGTGCTGGAGGGTAAATCAGGGACATCTTTCTGCCTGATCTTTCCACTGTGGCTTTGCCAAAGGGATCTGCAAGTCACAGCTCTTGCTTTGGGTGGCATGGAGACACACAAAGCAAAGTGAGCCCTGCCCTGAGTGTTTCCTCACCATCCCCTGAACTACAGTAGAGTTTTCTGGGCTACCTGGAGCTCCTGTCTCTCTCCAAAGGGTGAAGAGGAAGGGACAGTGTCTTTGCCCCCTAAAACCAACCTTACTTTCTGCTTGTGGGCTCGCAACACGATTAGGGTGAGAGCCCTGCAAACTGCAGTCTCATCTGTTGTTTAAAATTCCCCTGTCAAGTGATCCATTGTCTGATGCCAAACTAGCTGGGCAGATTGTTTTTCTTTATCCAAAAGGGGGATGGATTTAAATAGACTAATCAGAGTTTAACACAGGGCTAATGATGAAAGGTTATCATCTGTCCATCCCCAACCCCTTTGGGGAGTCTCTTCTCAGATGTAGGTAACAACAGCAGTGTTGGCAAACGAACCCCTTTCTCTTACCCGGGTGTTGGTTGCTTGTTACAAAGAGAATTTGACCTTGAGTTTGAGTTTGCAGGCTGGCACGGGGCGGATTCTTTTTCTGTCTCATCATCACTGTTGCCACTCTGGATATTGTTTTGTTTATGGAAATTTGTGCATGTGCATCTGAAATGTGCTCAGAGCAGTTCCCGTGCTGGGGTCACTGCCTGTGGTGTTTGGGGACAGTCAAGGGCTGGGGAGGGTCCTTGAGGATGATACGTGAGGTGGGGGCGGCTCCTGCAGCCGCAGCATCATCAGACTTTACCCCAGATAGAAGCGATTTATTTTGGTGACGTAAATGTAACTTCCTTCTTTCTTGCACAGGACTTTGGTGATGTTGTTTACACTTTTGAAATCCCTTTCCATGGCAAGACCTTTATTTTAAAGGTAAGAACCTTCCTGGATCATTATTTCCTTAGTCTGTGTGGTAGAGGCAAAGAGCAACCTGCTCTGCTCAGAGCCACGGCTCAGCTTTCATGCTCTTCCCTGGCCCTGGCAGGACAGGTCAGGCTGCAAAACACACTCTCTTTGCTTGAGACAGATGAACTGCACTGCACGCTCTAGGGAATCTCTCCAGGAAAGCCCTTTGGCTGGCAGACAAACTCCCCAGCAAATATGCTGGGCCCCAATCTCTGCTGGTGGAAATGGGAGCAGGTGACTACAAGACTCGTTTCCAACCCCAGCATCTAGGACTAATCTGACCAAGGAGGCTAATTGCAACTAATTGCCAGCAAGACCAGGGCTGAGCGTGCGTCTGCTGCTGCCTGGCATGGAGAAGAGCTGCTCGGAAGTGCCTTGCTCTGTGCCCTCTCACTGGAGTGGCTTGGCTGTGAACCACGTTTTAATGAAGCATCGGTGCTGCGGTGGCTTTTCTTTGTTCCAGTGCATATGTTGCCTCGTTGGCAGGAGCTGCCAATGGAGCAGCTCCCTATTCGTGAGGAAAAAGCTGGATGGTCTCACTTTACTGCATTAACCATTTGCCTTCAAAGATCTCCTGTCCCGTGGGGATGTGGAGAAATGATGGTTGTCTGTGCTGGAGCTCAACAAGGAGCTTTTCAGCAGCTTCCTGAAGGCATCGCGCACGCAGCAGAAGTGCTGATAACGTGGGGTGAGGGTGGGAGAGGAGCCAGCCTGCGTCTGCCCCAAGGTCTGTCTGTCTCACCGTGTCACAGACAGACACTTGCCCTCTCTTCCACCAGCACAGATCTCAGCGGGCAGCAGTTCAGCAACTGCCTAAACCCAAGGTGCAGTCTCTTCTCTCTGACTCCACATGTGCCCTCCAGGTCCCTGGGGACATCAGTGCCGTGGCAGAGGGGTGACAGCCTTGGCTTTGCCTGTGCTCGAGCCAGGCCAGCCTCACCACTCCCCTCCTGTATTATCCCAGTTGTTCTTTGTGATCTATCCTGTGTTCCTTCAAAATAACCTTACTGAAGTGGGGCAAAGGGCTGGCTCACTGCTCTGGCTCTCTCCTCAGGCTTTCCTGCAGTGCTCTGCTGAAACAGTTTACCAGGAGGTTATTCTCCAGCCTGAGAAGATGATCCTGTGGAACAGAACGGTGGCAGCTTGCCAGGTGAGCGTGCTGGACAAAGATGGCTTAATCACAGGAGCTCCTTGGAGCGGAGAGTTGGAGCTTCCCAATCCAACACCGGCTGTCAGTGGTGCCCAGGCCCTACTGGAGCTTAGCTGGATCCGAGTCACTGAGGCGTTAAATCTCCACCGCTCATCCGTACGATCCGAATGCTCTGCGGCAGCCAGCTGCATGCGTGTGCCTATCCAAAAGCCCATGAGGTGGGCAGGGAGATGGGCCAGCAGCTTGCTTTTGCTGGGGAGGATTTGGGCGTTTTATGCCCTTGGTGTGGTGGGGATCCAAAGGCAACGCCTGTGCCCCCTCAAGAAAGGCAGAGGGACCAGCCCCAGGGCAGGGGACAGACCTGAGCACACACACTGCCAAAGAGCTCGTCCCCCTCAGCCTCAAATCAGCTGCTAAAGACTCTGGTGGCTTTGAATCCCGGTGCTGTTTCAGGGGAGGGTCTGTATCACCCAGCTGTGGGCACACACAGACCTGCAGGTCTGAGGAAATCTCTCTCTATTCTTTATTCCCCCCCGCCTCACCCCAGATTTTGCAGCGGGTTGAAGACAACACGATCGTCTCGTACGACGTGGCAGCCGGGGCTGCGGGCGGTGTCGTTTCCCCAAGGTCAGTTTATTCCACTCTCTGTTTTGTGCTGAGCCCCTCAACACCCTCCTGAAACACCGAGAGAAGCAGCTGAGTTCAGGGAGAGCTCTCTGCCCCGGCTCTTTGCTGGCTGGGAGCTCTCAGTGTCACCGTGGCCAGGCTGGCTGTGCAGGGAACACTCCCCAAAGCAAAGAGCCCCCAAATTCTCCTCCAGACGTTTCTGGCAGGAGTCTCATTGCTCCAAATCTGTCTCAGTCAGTCAGTCGTTGTCCCTGATAACAGAGCTTTGTCCCTGTGTTGACATACCTGTGCCCCAGCCTGTCCCAGCAGTCCCCAGAGCGGGATCTGCTCCTTCAAAGCAGCTTTTCAAGCAGTCAACGCCTTTTTCTTTGCTTAGGGATTTTGTGAACGTGCGGCGGATCGAGAGGAGGAGGGACAGGTACATTTCCTCAGGGATGTCGACCACGCACAGCCTGAAGCCTCCTCTCTCCAAGTATGTCAGGTAAGAGGCAGGTTCTCTTATTTTATTTCAATTTTTTTTAAGCTGGTATCTGACACACACATTTTGCTTGAGCTTAGGGCAAAGAGCCACTTAAATGAAAACCCTGCTGTCTTTCTGGCAGCGTTTGCAGGAAGCTCATCTATTTGTGGAACTAAACCTTGCTTCCCTTGTTCTTCTGCCTTTGTTAAAGAAACTCTCCGTGCTGTTCGTTGTTCCTCGGGCGTTTCCCAACTCTCTCTGCTCAAGGGAGTGGAGTTACCGACCAGTAACAGCACAAACCCCGACCCAGTCTGCATCCTGTTTATGTAACAGTTAATTCCCCAGCAGGGCCAGCTGCCATTTCAGAGGGGCAGTAAACAGCTGAGCGTGGCTCACTTTGAGCCTCTCAAATGCCTTTTGCTTCTCGTAAGCTCAGTCACTGACTGACTTTAAAGGCTGCAGACACTGAGAGATGGTCCCGTGGGTGAAACAAGCTGCGTCAGGATGGACTGGCTCCCAAAGTGTCGGCAGGTCTTTGGCCTCTCCCCTTCCGAAGGGACAGCTCTGCCTGGCTGGTGATGGATCTCACCAGGGTTAGTCTCAACAAACAAGGACTCCTTGTCACTGTCTGCTCTGGTGCCTGGGGCCCAGCTGTGCCACTCCGCTGTGCCACTGACTTTGTTTTTCCTAATAATCTGGTTAAAGTAATTGACATTTTAACTGGGAGCCGTTGCAGCTGCCTTAGTCTATTTAAGAGCTGGGGACTTCAAGGCTTGGAAAAATCTTTTTTTACAAATATATGCAGCGAAAAATAGCGTGTTCCTGAACAGGGAAGGGAAATCTGTGTTTGAGCTGTGTGTGTGAGCACAGCTCTTGTCTCTGAGACGGATCAGATGGTGCGAGGAAGGATCTGGGGGCTGTAGTGACAAGACTCCCCATGCTGAGCCTGGCCTGACTGTGCAGGGTTTCTCTGACCGCTCGGTGTTCCTGGGACCTCTTATCTGCACCCATTTCTACAGGGTGGTGCCTCAGAAACCTCCCTGGGGTGATGAGCTGGTGTTGGCTGGGCTGGCACCGTCCGGAGGCAGAGTCTGCATCTCAGCCCGCAGCCCTGGCACCGCTGCTGCCAAGGCACCTGTGGGAAACCTGCCTCTCCGTGCTTGCTGGTGTGCCTGCAGCCAAAGCAGATACCTTCCCTGCGCATCTGCTCGTACCCCGCTGGGCTCGAGTCCTCGCTGCCAGGCGGAGGGGGTGGCTGCTGCTGCTGCTGCAGGAGTTTAGCTCAGGATCGGTGCGGTGCACCCCAGAGCGCTGCAGAACAGCTTCTCAGCCAACCCCGGCTCTGACTGTGTGTTCTTGCTTCCCTACAGGGGTGAGAACGGACCCGGAGGATTCATCGTCCTGAAATGTCCCAGCAACCCCAGGGTCTGCACCTTCATCTGGATTCTCAACACGGACCTGAAGGTAAAACCAGTCCTTGGCTGATGTGCTGCATCCCGTCCCCAGCAGAGCTCACCAGCAGGCTCCGGCATCCCCCGCGT